CAAAGGCAGAGATTTCTCTCTTTCTGCTCAGTCATCGGCGCTTTTTGTGCACAAATACAAAACCATATGCATCAACAAATTGGACTGATACAATTTGAACTCCACTTTCTTCAACTCTTAGGGGGCTTAAGGTAGTTGATACTAGATAACTAAATAAGTACATCGCATGATTTGAGTTCTAGAGAGTGAGAGTTTGAGGTAAGCAAGGTCCAAAATCATGATAATAATAAATCAGCTAAAATGGAGTGGACTCAAACCATTTTATGAATTTAATATAAAACCATAAACGCGTATTATGCATTAAGGAGTTTTACTTGCGAGTATGTTGGGAATTTTCTCCCAAAAGTTAGCATCTGCTGTTGGTCTGAAATAAAATTCATCCCTATTTACTGCCATAATAAGACGGTATCCATCAGGGCTTGGTTTGTCACAGAAGTAGAGAAACAAGATGCACATCTTCTGGGCTTTGCTCAGCAATATTGTGTTGTAACTTATCTGTGAATATAAAAAGATGTGCATTCACAAAAGGAAGAATTTTTTATTTAACTCCTGTTCACAAACGACCAAAGGAAAAGTAAAGTAATTCACAAAAATATTGTTACTAATAATAATTGTTTCCTTCTGTGGTTCAAGAATAAAATTTGGACGTTCAATTAGTGCACGGTGACGGTTATCACTGTTAGCAAAGGATAAACCAATCTAACTACACTAAGTAAATGTTTTCACTGGACGTTTTTATTGTAAACAAACAACGGCATTCTTCATCCAGTAGAAATTTCAGATTGATCATATGTATGTTCGCTTTGAAAGTGTTAATGTACAGGTAGTCCGCCTTCATTCGCTGGGGAGCCTGTTCCATAATTTTGGACAGAGATATCTAGTAAGGTCTAGTAAGCGAGTGTTAGCCAAAAGTTGCAGAATTAAAATTGGGTAAAGCGAAGTCAGAATTGCTTTAATTGTAATGGTTAGTTTGGTTCTTCAGTAACCATATGACTAGTTTATTCGCTGGGGAACCTGTTCCATAATTTTGGACCCACATATCTAAGCGAGTATTAGCCAAAAGTTACGGAATTAAAATTGAAAATTCTTGATCGAAAGCTCGCACATGCGCAACTCATGATACTGTCGCTTAATCGAGTTGGAAAAGTAACTGTTTTCACGTGATTTCCGGTTTTCACTCGCTAAGCGACCTGAGAAACCGCTCGTGAAAACAACTAGTTCATAAATTTGGCGATCGTCTTTATTATCTTTTCTACTGTTAAGTATTTTATGAAATTTGTAAATAGACCTTTTCTTCAGGTAGGTGTCCTCTATAAGTAGAGGATTTCCCCTCACCTCAAGTAAGTGACACATTAATAAGGCTGCTATAATTATTCTTTATAAGCAAAGGTTTGGTAATACATAAGCATGTAAAAAATAAGCGATAAAATGCAATAACGTTTCGGAGTCGTCATGACAGCATTATCAAGTTTAAGATGATTAAAATTAACTGTCACAAATAGTTCGTTGAGGGTTAACACAATGAATAATTGATTAAGCATATTAGCTTAGTTTTTTACCTTTTCGCTTATGATACGAATATCCTTTATGCTGATAAAAATTTCAAATCGTTGTAAATTACCGTGAATCAAGAAATAAACAAACTCTTCGACTGGCTGATCGCTACTAAATTGACACTGAATATCAAAAAAACTAATTTTGTCCTGTTTTGTCCAGTTCAAATGAAACTTAAATACCTGCCTAAACTCGTGATATTTGATAAAGAGTAAAATAAGAGCATTGCGCTAGAGCATAGAGTATGTTAAATATCTTGGGATTTTAATTAACAAGAGTCCGTCTTGTTTACAGGATTCTTATCTAGATTTCTCCGATATTGTACTAAATGTAAATGGCTGGTAAATCCTAAAATTAAACTGTTCCGTTCCCTAATAAATAATAATTAATATAGGTCAATGTAATGGTTTCCTGATTTATTTTTCCATTTTATCATTGTCTTTTTCCCCTCGTTATGTTCATAATTAATGTAGTCTTTATATTTTTGATAATCTGTAATTGCTAAAGCATGCCCGCTTAGATTATCCTTTGCTTCCTGCGGGCATGCTTATTTTTTATATAGCTGTTTGTTTAAAAGGATTTTAATCAATAATTTAAGTGTAAAAGTGTAAGTAAATAAATAAATAATGTGGACGGTGTTGGGGTGTCAAATGCAGTAAATTTCCCTAAATGTAATAAAGGTCCTAAGCGTAATAACTTTTGGTCCTTAATGTAATAAGGTCACCGACTGCCATATATAGAGCGGTTTTCAATTGAGTGTCGTAAAACCAAAACGAAACCAATTACTTAGCAATTAAACTTCTCAGCCAATCTCAAACCGTGGTAAAACCAAAACCAAAGTAATTGCCTGATTACTTTCGAGACCTTTCGACACTCAGTTGAAAACTGCTCCATTGATATTTAGGCAGTCTAAAAGTTGTACGTGACGCCTTATTTGCCGTAATTACGTACAGTGACTATCAGAGCAGAGGCTGCGGAACGAAATGAACAATAAGGAGCAGGAGGGGAATAGAACACAGGATCTGAAAAAAATATGTTCGAGACGGTACAGCCAAACCGGATCGTCAAGTGTCCGAAAATGCTCGAGGGGTTAGGGGCTGTCAATTTTCATATTTCTTTACAAAACCAGTTGACGTGTTTTCTTTGAAGACAGAGTACTAATCGAGCTACCCTGTCTGCTTTCCGTGGGGCACCCTTTTAGGCGGGTTATCTTTTTTTGCATGTATACTGTACGTAAACAGTTATAACATGAGGGTCTCTATGGGGTTAACCGTTAGCCGCAAAATAGCCAAAAATTTAGCCGTTAGGCTAACCGTAAAAAAATGTTGACGATACACGCCATGAAATCTAGATGGTTTTCCAACGCCTCATCACGCTTCGATGACGCTTTCTGAACTCGGGTAAAAGGGCTGTAAATTTTGCATCCAAAGGCGAGCTTTGTTGTAGCCGGGTAACTCGGTTAACCGCGCAGCCTCTTTACATGTTAACAAGCTCTTATAAAGAGCAGCTTCAAATAAGAACCGTGAGGGGGCGGGGATGATGGACATTCACCAGGACTTACTCAATGATTCATGAGTCCGAATATATTAAAGGATGTTCATCGAAGTTTATAACCTCTATGGTTAGTAATTAACTCAAGGTTTGTCGATGTTTACTCCTGTAAAATAAGACATGCAATAAAGATAAAGGGAGATTGTGACTCACTTCTGTGGCATCTGAATATTAAAGAACATTAATTGCAATCCCCATTAACTTAAGGACGTTCGCGCGAAAATTTTCCAACATTGATTTTTTTCTGAGACTTTTACCACTGTAAGATAATGAATTAGTTATGTCAGAAATGTAAAAAAATGGGGTGTCACCGACTTCGTTTTGGAGAGAACATGCCCGGAAGAACATCTAAGTCTGAAAAAACACGGGCTTCGTTAACGAATAAGGCCAGTGTCTGTAAGCCCAAAAATATTGCAATTAGCTAGTGAAATGTTCACTGCCAAATATTGTTTAAGTGGACCTATTAAGTGAATTTAGTCAACTGGCGAGGTTCCTTAAAGAACAAGTCGGCGGGCCAGTCTATCAATAGTTACAAATGATTTATTATTATTATTACTTTTATTACTATCATAGAAAAATAGAAAGTTAGAGAAAAAGTGAATAAAATAAAAATAAAAAGTGGGAAAAGAATGTGATATAATAGATAACATATTTTTTGTTTGATGTGAAATATATATGAAATAATTCATATTTGAACTGCAGTTGTAGATGAAAGTGAAGAATGATCATCGCAGTAAATTTTCCAATTTAAGCAATTGG